CTAAACCCTAAACCCTAAAAGCTCCAAGCAAACCTCGCGCAACCCTATAACCCCAATTTGAACCATATTCCCCCCAAAGAACCAGCCCTCCACACCCTTTCACGACCCGCTGACACCCTCGAAACCTCAGACAACCCCTAAAAAACACAACGATGAGCCAAAATCCTGCTCACCCAAACCCCAAACCCCAAACCCCAAACCCCAAACCCCAAACTAGACCCGCTATCATGGGTTCACGTACTACCCCCCTCTATATTTCCCCCCCTGGGTTCCCCCCATAAGTAAGGCTATACAGGGATTAGTAAGCCTAGTTAAGGTCATGTAAGGGGCCCTCCTCCCCCTGCAATTGGGGTTTAGGGTTTAAGGTTTGGGGTTTAGGGTTTAGGGCTTAGGGTTTAAGAGGTTAAAGGGTTTAAGAGGTTAAAGGGTTTAGGGTGTAGCGTTTAGGGTTTAGGGTTGAAAGGTTAAAAGGTTAAAAGGTTAAAGGGTGTAGGGTTTAGGGTTTCGGGTTTAGGGTTTAGGGTTTGGCAAGCCCACGCAACCAAGGAGCTTTCGCCATTCGAGTTCGACCCCCCCGGCCGGTCGGGGGAGTGGGCAAACCCGGCTTAGAGAGCCCTCTGGTTGTAAAAGAGAAAAACCCCTTAAAAGAGACCGGTTTAGGGTTTAGGGTTTAGGGTTTAGGGTTTAGGGTTTAGGGGACCCAAGCCAACTACTACACTACCAGCGGAGCATCGCCGGAGAAAGCATCTTAACCCTGAGCCTAAACCCTCGGCTCAAAGTACGCAGCCTTGCTGAAAACCTTCAAAGCTACAACCTGCACGTCCCCAGGCCCCGACACTCCGGCCACGTAGACCCTTGCGACTTGCGGCGCTCTCTTTTCAAGCCCTCAATTGGCTCTTCAGATCTGACGTTTTGAACAACCCGAAACCCAAAACCCAAAACCTAAGCAGGGCTTCCGGTTCCCAAAGCCCCCAAAAAAGCCCCTAAAGCCCCCTAAGCCCACTAAACCCCCCCCCCCCCTAAGCCCCTAAACCCCCCAACATGTTCTGCTCTGCAGGCACATATCCGCCCGAGGGCCGAGACTGGACGGAGTACTGTCGCAGCGCCTTGGGCTTTTGAAAGAGAATCCAGGGTTAGGGCTTGCCAGCACCCCCCCAACTACCTTTACACCAGAACAGTAGGCTATTCTAGCACCCTTTATTAAAGGGTAGTTTGGGGGGTGCAGGTAAGATGCAGGGTTTAGGGTTAAGGGTGTTAAGTTTCACTGGTTTGCCCCGAGTCTCTGATTACATGCCTCTTGTACAGATACAACCCCCCCTTAATTTCTATCTTCGAGTTTGTTTCGCCCGTGCCGCGCTCCTTCTCTTCGGATTTGGCGCTGAGTGAGTGAGGGGTGAGCAATGTTAAGCTTCAGGGTTTGAGGATGCAGCTGCTGTAGGTTTTGACGATTAGGTTTGCAAAGCTGTATAAGTGGTAGCTCATTTTGGCTTCAGGGTCACGTGACGCCTCATTGGCTTTGGGCAGAAGGTTCTTTAGGGTTCAGGGCTTCGAGAACCTTAAACCCAGCAAATCGCCCCATCTGATGCAGGTTGGGCGCCAGATTACCAGGACCCAAACAACTTTGTTTCAAAAGAAGAGTTCCTTGCACGATGTTTGGCATGTTGTTGGACCTTCAGAAGAAATCGTAGCTTAAACTTTGAGACCAAGCCGGCTTTAGCATGAACACTTGACTGGCCCAGCTTCCTGTTGAAGGGCCGGGCTGTGGCTGGCCCATGACATGTGGTCACGCTCGTGCGCGTCACATCTCAGGGGCATTGTTGTTGTGCGCATGCATCAGCGGGATCTCCTTTAGCTTTCCCAGGCAATCAAGTCCGAGTCTTTACAGAGAAAAAGTTGGACAAAGCTGGAGTGTCAAGGTAGATCCCCAAGCGCTTGGTTCCAGAAGGGTGTCTCGTGAGGAATCCGAGCTTACATGGAATATCGCTACAGCAGGTAAGAAGGGTGACTGGTTCAAAGTTTCCAGACAGTTTCGGAGCTACACTGGCTCCGCCCCGGGTGTTTACGCAGCAGCAATGCAAGCTGCCTACAGGTGTGGCAAGCAAGCAGAGGCCGCGAAGATATATCATAAATTCAGGAGCTTACCGGCCTGTGAGCTGAACAAAGTGGTTCTGCACCTGGCACTCAAGATTTTTGGCAAGCTGCACAATGTGGATATGGTCCAGCAGATCTGGAAAGAGGCTGCAGACAGGAAGTGGATTGACAAGTTGTTTGCCGGAGCTCGCATCGACGCGGCTGCCGAAGTAGGCGATATAGCAGGTGCCGCCCAAATTCTTGACTACATGATCACGAATACGCTGCAGACAGACTCGATTGTGTTCAATTCGGCCATCAATGCATGCAAGAACGCCAACCCACCAAGCCACTCAGGCGCTAGGTACCTCTACGATCAGATGCTGGCTAGAGGACTGCAACCATGCGTGTCAACTTTCACAAACCTGGTTCGAGCACATACTGGGGCATCGCTGGACAAAATCCAGCATGTACGAGCAGACATGAAGTTTCGCGGGGTTCCGGCTAACCGAATGTTTCTGGAAAGCTACGTTGCAGCAGTATTCGGCACAGGAAAAGCCACCCCAAGAGATGAGTCTGAGCTTGCCAGAGAGCTCAAAGCATTGGGAGATGACCGCCTCCGCGAACTCAGGTCAGTGTTGGACGAGGTTCATTCGCTTGGAGTCACGACAAAGCTATCCAAATATGTGCTCAAGGTCTTGCATAAGGTCCTGTCAGGCTCCACTGAGTATTGAAGTGCCGTCTCCGGTGTCTACTCTTCAGCACTGGATGGTTGAAGTGGAAAGCATCCTCAGAAAATCAAAGCAGCCCTTTTGCATGGTCGGAAACAGATGGTTCTTCTAATGTCATTTCTTCAGGTTTCTGCTCACATGCATTCATGGTCTTGAACCCAGAGTCCAGCGCCCAAAGCCGTGGTACTTCGGTACTTTGGTACTTGAGCTTCAGTCCCCTGAACCCTGAGCCCTAAACCCCAAACCCTAAGCCTGAAACCCCAAGCCCTAAACCCTGCTCACAGGGCAAGGGTGTAGTGCTGCGGCTTTCAGATTGCCGGGGCTCTTTTGCATGACTTTCCATTGTTGCGGATGTGCAAGAACTTGGGGGCTTCAGAATCCACAATAGGGTGGTTGTCAAAATTATGATCCCTTTTTGGGGTACCCTAAATATTAGGTGCCGCATTATCATAGGGATCCAAGAAGGGACAATAATTTTGACAACCACCCAATCTAGATCAGTGTTAGGGATCCTTTTTACTTTTTGGGTTATGGGCCTTCTTATATATCAACCAAAAAGGTCCTTTTTTCTTCCTAGGGGAACAGGGATTAAGCAATAGTGCAAGTCCCAAGCCACAAACCCCAAAGTCCCCAAACCCTGAATCAAAGCAGACCCGGGAGCCGCTTGCAAGCCTTGAGCCCTAGTCCTTGCCCACTCTGCCTGGACCAAGGGTTTAGGGTTTAGGGTTTAGGGTTTAGGGTTTAGGGTTTAGGGTCTAGGGAGCTACACAGTTCAGGGTTCAGGCTCGGGGACCTACAAGCCCAGCAGAGCGCGTGCTCTCTTCGTTTCAAGCTTGGAGTTCAGTTTAGGGTTTAGGGTTTAGGGTTTAGGGTTTAGGGTTTAGGGTTTAGGGTTTAGGGTTTAGGGTTTAGGGTTTAGGGTTTAGGTTAGGGTTTAGGGTTTAGGGTTTAGGGTTTAGGGTTTAGGGTTTAGGGTTTAGGGTTTAGGGTTTAGGGTTTAGGGTTTAGGGTTTAGGGTTTAGGGTTTAGGGTTTAGGGTTTAGGGTTTAGGGTTTAGGGTTTAGGGTTTATGGGTTTAGGGGTTTAGGGTTTAGGGTTTAGGGTTTAGGGTTTAGGGTTTAGGGTTTAGGGTTTAGGGTTTAGGGTTTAGGGTTTAGGGTTTAGGGTTTATAACCCAGTCAAGGAGCAGCAGATAAGCTTTCTTGCTCGTAGGCCATTGGGGAAGCTAGTGAAACCTCAACCCTCAAACCCAAAAACCTAAGCCCTCAGCCCTCAAGCCATACTCCCTAACACCTAAGCCCTCAGCCCTCAAGCCATAGACCCTAAAACCTAAACCCTCAGCCTTAAGTCATACACCCCCTCAAGCCATAAAACCCTAACCCCTCAGCCCTAAAACCCTAAACCTTGTCTAGGGTTTGTTGTGCTCGCAAGCCCAGGTTTCGGGCCAGCCAAGGCGCGATTCCTGTTGGAGGCGGGCTCAGGATTTTTGGGTTCGGTGGGGGCTGGAGGGAATTTGGGGGTTTCCGAAATTAAGGGCACATGCTTGGGGTCTTTATTTTCAGGGAATTTTGGGGGTTTGTATGATGGGCCCCCTGTTTTCCTAAATTCAAGACTTCAAGAGTTCCGCACGGATCTGAGGAGCTTTGGGGCTTTGAGGGGCTTCCAGAGTTTCGGAGATGTAGGGGTTCGGGATGTTCACAATATGTTGGGGCTAGGGCTTCAGGGGTATTTCCGGGTTTGAAGATGTACCGGGGTTCAAGAATTTAGTGGTTCCTTTAGAAGGTTCCGCATCCGCTTCCGAAAGTTTTTGTGACTTGCGGAATTTAGGCCTGGCGTTTCGGCTTCAGAATTTCAGTGGCCGGACTGGCTCACTGTTGAAGATCATCTTACATTCTTTATGAATACTGAAACCCAATATGGAACAACATGATCATCTTTAAGTAGTACCCCAACAATGGTGCAGGGAAGATCTTCGAGCCTTTTGATTCTAGAGCGGCGGTGCCGTGGCTCATATTTTTAGGGGCTTACGAAAATAGGGTACCCCTAAGATAGACTCCCAATTTGTAGGATCCCCTTATCATAATGACCCGATAAGGTACCCCGAATATCCTAAACCCCCATGTTGGGTCCTCGGATTCGTTCTCTCTCTCTCTCTCTCTCTCTCTCTCTCTCTCTTCTTGCTGGTGATGAGGGCGGAGGCCTAATCCTAAACCCTAAACCCCAAAACCCGAACGCCCCCCTAAACCCCTAAACCCTAAACCCTAAACCCTCAACCCTCAACCCCAAACCCCGAACCCCTAAACCCTAAACCCTCAACCCTCAACCCCCAACCCCAAACCCCAAACCCCAAACCCCAAACCCTAAACCCTAAACCCGAACGCCTGGCACCCTCAAGCGCGCCAACTCGAGATGTGGGTGGCTGTCAAACTTCGGGTCCCTTCTGGGATCCCTATGAAAAGACGGCACCTAATTTATGTGGGTTGGTGGTCTCTTTAAGTAGGGTTGCTGTTTTAGAGGGCATGTAAAGTTGGGGTTCTTATTAGGGTATCTAAGGGCTAGATGAAGGTATATGGGTAACAGATAAAGAGGCCACCGGCCCTTATAACACCAAATATTTACTTGGTAGCCCAGTGGCACCCTTTTCCCTTTTATTGATTCAAGGCTCCCTTATAAAGTAACCAACCCAAAAAAGGGTGCCCTTATTATCATATGGTTACTGGGCTACCAAGTTTCGGGTACGTACCCCAAAAGGGATCATAATTGTGACAACCACCCATGTCGTGCTTGCATCTCTGCACTTGAGAAGGATACCGGTGCCAACGGCATGTAGCCTTGGTAGCCCAGCGGCACCCTTTCTGCCCTTTTTTGTGCCCGTGGAGGAGTCGCCACTTTTAGGGTACCCTTGCTATGGTATAGGTACTGAGCTACCATGTAGCATCTACGCTTCAAGCCTTGCAGCGCATGCTAGCTGCCAGCTCATTGAAACCCAAAACCCGAAACCCGAAACCCGAAACCCTAAACCCTAAACCCTAAAAACCCAAAACCCTAAACCCTAAACCCTAAACCCTAAACCCTAAACCCTAAACCCTAAACCCTAAACCCTAAGCCCTTGTCAGGACAAGCTACCGCGCGCCTTTGAGCTCGGGAAAGCTGTCGGAATCGATTTTCGCATGGACCGGCGCGGCTTGGCTGAGTCCCCTAACGCCATGGGTTTGGGGTGTAGGGCTGTTTAGGGTTTAGGGTTTAGGGTTGAGGGTTTAGGGTTTAGGGTGTCGGGATGATGCCATTCCTTCGTCGGGAATTTGGGAATGAGGGCCCGAAAAAATGCGCCATAATACGTTTAAAAAAAGTACGACACCCCGAATTCCCTCATTCCCTACTAAGAACCAGCCAGGCGAAGTCCCCTAAAGCCACGATGCTGCGAGCTCCTAGGAAATTTAGCCTTGGCGGTTCGTAGGGTTTCCAGAAGGCAACTCGGCCTGTAGGGGGCGAGGGCTTAGGGCTTAGGGCTTAGGGCTTAGGGCTTAGGGTTTAGGGTTTAGGGTTTAGGGTTTAGGGTTTAGGGTTCAGGGTTTAGGGTTTAGGGTTTAGGGTTTAGGGTTTAGGGGAAGGCGTTCCTAGAACGATCCATGCAAGCAGAATGGATTTGAGGTAGGCTGCTGGATGTGTAAAGCCTATTACTTTGGTCTGGGGACGAAACCAACGAACCATGGCCTCTGAAGATCGTAAAACCCAAAACCCAAAACCCCAAAACCCGAAACCCGAAACCCTAAACCCGAAACCCTAAACCCTAAACCCTAAACCCTCAACCCTAAACCCAAAACCCTAAACCCTAAACCCTAAACCCTAAACTTTTGCAGTCGGCATGGCACGGCAGGCATTGTGCATACCATCGACGTGAACACCGCGCTGCTGGTGGCACAGAAGTACGGCCACTTGCCTGTCGGAAGTCCTTGCACCCAAGGGTCCGTCTCTTGCCGAGGTCTGAATAACTTGGGCCTTAACAGTACTTCCTTCCTTGGTTGCCCAGTGGTGCCCTTTTCCCTTTCTTGGGTTCAAGGTTCCCTTACAAAGTAACCAACCCAAAAAAGGGTGCCCTGATTATACTATGGGTGCTGGGCTACCAAGCTTCATAAGAAAGCACAAGGTATATACGACGTAGGTACATGGGGTGGGGTTTAGGGTTCAACGGGCTTAAGATCGCGGGAATTTAGGATTTCAAGTGGGTCTCGGGTTCAGGGTTAGGGTCTTTAAGTGGGCGTTATCGGGCTTTCTGGGAAACCCTAAACCCTAAACCCTAAACCCTAAACCCTAAACCCCTAAACCGAAGCTGCATGAAGATCCTGCAGGTGTTGCCGAGCCTTTTGCCCTCGAGATGCTCAAGCTGCACTTCGAACAGCTTCAGGCCCGGCTGGGCTGAAACGATTAAAGTAGACCCTAGAAGTTTAGGGTTTAGGGTTTAGGGTTATCTACCGTATCTCCTAAATTCCCCCATTACTCTCTGTGCCCAAAAGCGCTTCAAAAGAAGGCCAAGAAACCCAGCATCTCCTTCTCCATCCATGCACTCAAGCCAGAAATTTGGCGGGGTTTAGGGCTTCAAGGCACAAACCCCCGAAGCCCTACAGCCCAAAATTTTAAACCCTGAGCCGTAAAGCCTTGAAGCCCTGGAAGCCCACAACCCTAAAGCCCCAAACCCCAAACCGTAAAACCCTTGCAGCCCAAAAGTCCCCAAACCGCAGGACTGCAGGGGGGATCTTATTTCCCAAAATAACCGCTATAGAACTATACATACCTATACACCTAAGTCGCGCCTAAATAACCTTAAACCCTAAACCCTAAACCCTAAACCCTCAACCCTAAACCCTAAACCCTAAACCCTAAACCCTAAACCCTAAACCCTAAACCCTAAACCCTAAACCCTAAAAACCAAACTCCCTAAAGAACTCCTCAGGTTCCTGATAGGGGCCCTTAGTTTAGTCCCTTGCAGGACCCCAACGACCGCT